GAGAGAGAGAGAGAGAGATGTAAAGAAGAAAAAGAAATAGAAAGATGGAGAGAAAGTTAGAAAGAAAGATTGCCAGGCAGGCAGGCAGAAAAATAGTGTGTGTGTGTCTGTGTGTCTGTGTGTGTGTGTCTGTGTGTGTAGAGACAGAGACAGAGGTGATATAGATAGACACACGCGCACACACAGACAGACAGACTCAGAAAATGATAGACAGGCGATCTACGTCAGGCTCTTGCCCTATTTGAGGGGCTGCCCAAGACGAGCAGCGACTCAGCGCCCCTCCCCCCCAACTCCACGACCCCCTCCGAGGCCCGCAAGCCAGGAAAGCCCCTCTGCCCGGCAAGCGGGGGAGGGGGGAGGACCTGGGGATTCCCAACCTCCCCCCTCCCCATTTTTCCTGCGTGGGTTCATTTGCAAGCGGGCCCGTTTCAGCACCTTGGAGAAGCCTCAGCCTTATGGTCTCTCCGCAAAAGGCCCATGCTCCGCAGCCGGGGTGGGGTGGGGGGCGGGAAAGAGACTCATCTCTCCCTCTCTCTTTTTCTCTCTCTGTGTGTTCTGTGTGTGTGGTTGTGTGTGTGTGATTGTGTGTCCAGGAAGCGGCCCCGCCTCGCCCTTCCCTGCGACGCCGGCGGGCGCCCCGTCTAAAATCCCGCCCTCCTCAACCCCGCTCCTCCTTTCTTCCCGGCCTTCAAGCGGGCGGAGTCTACCGAGCACCCCCCTCCTTTGTTTCCGCCGAAAGGCGCCGCCACCCCCGCCATGGAGGCGCCGAGACCCCGGCCCGGCCAGGTAAAAAAAGGAGACCCCACTCCCCAATTCGACCTTCGTTGCTCGGATCCAAAGGGGCGGTGACCCCCCCCCCCCTCGGCCCTGGGGGGGGGGGTGGGGTGGGGGGTACATCAAGGGGGGGGTCACTTAATCCCCCTCTCCGGACAGCCCTCGGGGGGGACGGCGATCTTCGGGGGTCGCTCCGCTCTATTTTTTTGGCTTCGCAAGAACGGCGGATCGTCGCTGAAAGTGGCATTTCTGCTGCTTCGCGAGGGTTAACCTCTCCCCCTCCCGCTTTTGCGGGGGAGGGGTATATCAAGGGGGGGGTCACTAACCGCCCCCTCCGGATAGGCGCCGGGAGCGGGGGGTCTTCGGGGGTCCCTCCGCCCTATTTTTGGCTTCGGTGAAAGTGGCACTTTCGCTGCTTCGGTGGTTTCTAACCCCTCCCCCAGCCTTGGTGGGGGGACTGGGCAGTGGGGGTGGGGGTATGTCAAGGGGTGACCCCCCCCTCCGGAAAGCTTCGGGGGAGGGGGGTTCCGCCCCGGCGCCCTACTGGCGGCCTGCGGAAAAAAGCGAAAGCGCCCTACGCCATTTTCACTGCTTCGCGATGGTTAAGCCCCTCCCTCCAAGGCTTTTTTGGGGGGTAGGGGGAGATGGGGTGAGGGTATATAAAGGGGACGCCCCCCTCCCCGAAACAACCCCGGGGGGGGCTCTTCCCCTCCCCGCCCTATTGGCGGCCTCGCAAGAACGCGGCTCATCCGTGAAAGTCAATCTCTTCCGCGGTTGTTACACAGCCCCCCCCCCCGGGTGTGTTGGGAAGGGGGAGGGGGGTTTGTTCCGTGGGACGGGTCGCCCTCCCCCCCAAAAAATCAAAATGGCCGAAATGGTCTCCCCGCCACACCCCAACACCTGGATGGGGGGGGAGAGGCGGGGTTCAGGCTTAAAAGAGAGCGGGGGGGGGGGGGGGGGGGGGGG